TCGGTTCACCCAATACCAGGGCTACGTCCGAGTCTCCAGCCAAATTCCAGCTGGGTTCCACTAGAATAGATGTTTTACGAGACTCAACAATCTTACACCTACTCTAACACCAGAACCAATTTCCAGCTTCCGACTTTAACCTTTCCACCAAGAACCAAATTCCAGTTCTTGGAAACCTCTGCAACCAAATTCCAGCATGCAGAGAAACCAAGTACCCAAATTCCAGGCACCACACAAGTACAAGAACCAAATTCCAGTTCCTGCACTTAACCTCTCCACCAAGAACCAAATTCCAGCTCTTGATAACCTCTCGCAACCAAATTCCAGCTGCAGAGAAACCAAGTACCCAAATTCCAGGCACCACACAAGTACAAGAACCAAATTCCAGTTCCTGCACTTAATCTCTCCACCAAGAACCAAATTCCAGTTCTTGGAAACTTCTACAACCACCTACCAGCTGCAGAAAGCTTGTACCCAAATTCCAGGCACAACACAATACAAAGTAATGAAAAAGAATTTACAAAGAAGAGACTTAGAAAGCTCAAACCGGATTACTCTAATCCACAGTAAGTTTCTTCTTCACAGAATGCAATATGCCTCAAGAAAGATTTCAAAAAGAACTTCACAAAACAGTTGTAATTCTTTCTTGGAAAAAGATGCTTAACAGTTGCTTGAATTGATTGTTTTGTTTCTGTAAAAACTGATATTCAATCTGTTGTTTCAAAGTTTCAAGCAAAACTGTTTTTAAAGAGAATTTTCAAATCTGCTGCATTAATTAATCTGTTGAAAGTTTGTTTTAATCTGTTGAAATAGCCGTTATAATCTGTTAAAAGTCCTTTCAACCTATTAATGCGTTCTTGTTTCTTTAACGAGAATGGTTTTAGTTGATACAACCATGTTTATATCAGTTAAAACATTTTACAAACATTTTCTAAGTATAAAACAATCGATTGAATCGCGTATTAATCGATTGATTTGTTTAAAAACCTTCTTATAAAACTTTCCAAGTTATTTTAGCTGATATAAAGTCGTTTTAATCGATTGAAAATCTGCACATATATTTTCAAGTCATTTTAATCGATTGAAAGTTCGTTTTAATCGATTGAAAAGATTTTCTAAGTTATTTTAATCGATTGAAATACGTTTTAATCGATTGAAATAAGTCTGATCGGTCATAATTCAATTCGATCGATCATAACCAACTATGATCGGTCATAATTTCATTCTGATCGATCATCCTGACTTCCAAAGTGGTTTTAATCGATTGAAAAGTGTTTTAATCGATTAAAATAAATCTGATCGCTCATTTTTAAAGTCTGATCGATTATATTTCATTCTGACCTGTCATATTCGAATTCTAATCGGTCATAAAGGGTTTTAATCGATTAAAAGAAGTTTGTATCGATTAAAATACTGTAAAAACACTTCTTTACGCATTCTAAGTGATTTTAATTGTTTCTTTTAAACTATATCAGTTAAAAAATTTGTTAGGAAAGTTCTTTGACAAAATGCTTTTGTTTTTTATTTGTTTAAAACTATTTTTGAGGCATTTTGCAAAATGAGTGAAGAAGCTTTATGCAGTGGAAAAGGTAAAGTGGTTTTACCTAAGCTTTCTGATAAGACACACTAAGTCTTCAGCTCCATTCTTCTGAGTGACTTGTTTGACTGTTGCAGAGTTGACCTTTGACTTTATCTTTGACTTCATCAAATCACTGAGATCTTTGCTAGGATCACTTTCATTATCGATCCTTGTCTAAAACTATGTAACATCAATTAAATTAAATCTTTATTGACAAAACTTGAAGGACGACTTGAGTTAAATTCTTTGCCAAACACATATTTGAAGACACAGGTTGAACTTTAAGTGTGCCTAAATTTGAATTAAGAATTAATCCTATATGTAAATATTAAAAAAATATAAATGTAGGTGATTTTGACCTTGATGAACTTTTTTATTTTAGAGTGCAGTGAAAAGTAGGAACGACAAACACAACATAACTTTGTAGGTTTCTCCCTAAATGCACAAAATGTAGTTACCAAGAGAAAAGTAGGAAGATGAATGGTGAAAAAAATTAAGAAATAATTAATGTTATTAAAGAAAGTTATCACGAATCGATTGATATTACCTGCAGATTTTCTTCTCAAATACGTTACAAAAAGAATACAAATTTACAAATTAATAAACGAATTCGCAAGAGAAATTGTAGCTAAAATCCAAAAGAAAAATAATTTGTGAAAATTTCTTGATAGTTTTGAAATTTTATTTAAAACTTACATGTGATATAAATTTGCAGAAAAAAAAAATTTTGAAAAATTGCCTGTAAAGTTTCTGCTGATTAAATTTTTTTTTTTTAGAAAAACTTAAAAATTCACATGAAATACATACAGAAATTTTCTGGAAAAAAAAATTCCCGAGAAATTTTGTAAATTTCTGGTATAAGCAGACCCTCTTCTTACATGTGAACAATTAGGTCCATTTCATATTGGGCCACATCTGAGCTCTTCTTAAAAGTTATCATTAGGTTTCTACTATTTAAACACCCCTTTTTAGTATATTTTGTTTCTTTTATTAAAATTATTACATTATTTTTAAAACACTCGTCTCTTTTGTACTCATGCTACATAAGCCCCTTCATGCTTTAACTCCCCCAACAACCCCATTACAATGTTTATGGTAATGGTAGCAGAAATTTTTAATTAGAATTAAGTTTACTTCCATCCCTTTAATTTAAATAGCTTCCACTCACTCAACATTATCCTTTTGTTTTTTCTAACCAAGTTTTAGTTGGAAATCTCTTTTTCAAAAATACTTTCTAAAATATATTTTTCTTTTCATAGCATTTTAAAAAGTGCTTAAAATTTTCATGTTTCAAAAAATATTTTTAAGAAGGTTAAGAAAATAAAATATATTTCAAAAAACACATTCCAAAATGTACAAGAATGTTATATAAAGTGTTTTTAAAAACAATTTCTTTTCATTTTACAATATATTTTCTGAAATAGTTTTTTATTTTCATGTTTTAGGAAGTATTTTATGAAATGTAAAAAATAAACTATTTCTGAAAAGAATTGTTAGAATATTTTAAAAATTAAAAAAAAGTATTCAAGAAAGTAAATTCTGCGTATTTACTAAAAAAAATAAAAAATCCTATGGAGTATTTTTTTTAAACATTTTTCTTACATTTTAGAAAAGTGTTTTGAAAAATATTTTCCTGAATATAAAAAAATAAAAATAACTTCTGCAAAATACATTAAGAGATTGTTTAAAAAATTATCTTATTTTTTATAGTTTAAAATACATTTTTTAAAATATATTTTTATTTTCTTAAGTTTTTGAAATATAAGAATGAAAAAAATTAGAGAAAATATATTTTGAAATGTGCTTTTGAAACATATTTTTATTTTTATGAATATGTAAAATTCAATGAACAAGATAGCTTGTGCAGAGATCCAATGACTAATAGTGATATAACTTTGCAAAAGGACATTTTGGAACACTCGAAGAAACATAGCATATGTGCATATTTGTATTAAACTTCTACCAAACAACACGCACCTTCCAAGGAATAGTCTTCCAACTTCCATTCTTCATCGCGTATTTTGAGGGCAATTTCTCTTTCAAGGAGACATCTCACCTCCATCCATTGAACCAATCATGTTATCAAAGTAAATTACAGAGGTTCCTGATTGACCTAATTTTATCTTATTATTCATTTGACACCGTTTATCATATGAAAGGAAAAAAAAAAATCAAATAGTAAAAATGAAAAAGTAAAAGTGAGAAAGTTACAGAAAGAGAAGTAAAAACAATAAAGAAGGTCTACATGCACAGAACTTATTTCTCTAAGAGTGAAAATAATAATAATAATAATAATAGTAATAAAAGTATTAAATATGTGTATATAAATAACAATAAACATTCTAGATATGTGCAGACACCATTATCATTATCTCAACAGTAACAAGTTCAAATTTTTCCATACTTCCAAAATTACCCATTCATAGTGTGACGCGTGTCCAAACAGCCCCGCCGTTGACCTCAGTGTCCCTCACTCGGTTTCGTCCCCTTCAAAACAGGACCCTCTCGTCGACCCAAAACACTACCTTTTTAAGATCAACATAACTTCGTTTGCCTCTACATTTTTTTAAAATTATTTATTATATGCTATATTAAATTACAAACTTGAGGGAGTTAAGAATAAATATTTTTAAACACAGCCAAAAGAATAATTTATTTAAATTTTTAAGAATTACATGAGTGAATTTTATTAGTTTAAAGAAACTAACCTTTTTTAATGAATTTTAGCCAATAATAAACATACGTTCTGTGTTAAACAATGTTAGATTAACAATTCTTTTGCAATTTTTATAACAAATTAAATAACAAAGACAATGAAACAAATAAAAGGATCACATTTTTACACCATTCATATTTTATGTCATATTATTTTCTATAGTATTATTTTTTGCATTTTTAAAATCGAAAATGATTATTTTCTTAAAAAATGATCTCAAGCATTGCGTTTACTGGTGGCTTTAGTATAATGTGATATTTCTAACATGTTTAAAATATGTAAAACAAATATATTTTTTGATAATATTATCCACGATAAAAACCAGTAATTTCAAATTTTTATAATCAAAACTTCCTTATTTTACAAATACTTGAAGATATATTTTTATTGTATAAAATATAAATTAACTACTTAATTTCTAATTTTTAATATATATATGAATATAAACTATTATTCATCTAAGTAACATCACGATCAAACTAATTATTTTTTATTGTATTATAATTTTTTTTTCTGAATTACTATGATTATTGTCCATATATATATATATATATATATATATATATATATATATATATATATATATATTATAAGCAGTTATCTCTGTTTATTTCCACCTACTATTTTATCAGTGGAAACACCAAGTTTCAGAGCTTAGCTTATACATCAACAAAATTCAGAGAAAAAAAAAAAATCCTTACCGCGATGATTCCATCGTCTGTTCCATTTCTGCTTCTCTTCCTTTCTTTCTTTGCACCTGCACCCTGTACACTTTCTGACCCAAGAGCACAGAGAATCGCTCTGCTATGCACTAACCGCACAGAGTCGTCCCTATCCGCACGCCAGGTATTCATCGCAAACTTTCTGGCGGCGATGGACACTTTGACCCCTATGACGACCGCGCGGCAGCACGGCGCCGTGGCGAAGGGGTCCGGAAACGCCACTGTTTACGCCAAGGGGGAGTGCATGAAGGACCTCTCGCAGTCGGACTGTAACGTGTGCCTGGCGCAGTGCAAGACGCAGCTCCTCGGGTGTCTCCCGTTTCAGAAAGGGACACGAGGCGGCAGGTTGTTCTTCGACGGCTGCTACCTCCGCTACGACGACTACAACTTCTTCGCCGAAAGCCTCGACGACCAAGACACCACTGTGTGCGGCACCAGTGGGAGTAGTAACAATAATAACAGTGATAGTGCTAACAGTACCCGAATTTATAAGGCCAACGCTTTGGAGTTGGTTAGGAACCTGAGTGAGGTGGCGCCCAAAAACGATGGGTTTTTGGTGGGGTCGGTGGAGAGAAGGAACGTGAGTGTTTACGGATTGGCTCAGTGCTGGGAGCTTGTGAATGGCAGTGTCTGCAGCAAATGTTTGGCGGATGCTGCTACGAGGATTGCTTCATGTGCAACACAAGAAGGGAGGGCGTTGAATGCTGGTTGTTACTTGAGGTACTCTGCGCACAAGTTTTATAACAATTCAACCGATGTTGCAATTTCTGGAAATCATGGTCAGTTATACTATCTCTCTCTGTTTTTGCCACGTATTTCTTGTTCGATTCTCTTGATGGTATTGAATTTTAGTTAGCTTATTGGTTATGATTGATTCTCGCATCCTAGGAAGTGTTCCTCTGATTTTGTTGAGGATTAGAAAGCATTTTTGGTGCCATGTTGACAATATAACTATGGTTTTAAATGCGACCGTGAAAAATTAGTTCAAGGTTTTAACTTGACGTTTCGGTCACACTTATGTCACTGTCTTTGATATTGCAGACAAATTTGGCAATGTTTTAGTCCTGGGGACCTTAAAACCTTGATGTTGTTAAAATTGCGGTTATAGACCATTTTCTAAAACCTTGATTGTGAAAAATTGCAAAACATGCCGTTGAATGGGTCACAAATGTATGTAGCGAAGACTCCAAAAGTCCCAACGTTGATCACGGACCATTTTCTGAAACCTGGAAGATTCAAACATACCATGTATTACTTATTTTGTTCTATTAAGTGGTTTTCGAAGGAAGGATTTATTATTGTTTAGAATAATTTTGAGTAGATCTTTTGTCCTTGATGTGCCCTTTTGTTATGGAATTTAACTATCTTGTAAATACGAAAAGAGGCATTATTTTGAACAAATAAAATACTTACGAAGATCACCTTTCTGATAAGATATGTCTCTAAAGCTGTAGAACATTGATGATGTGTATGGTATGTAATGTTAGGACAACGGAGTCTACCTAAAATTCTGGCTGCATCCTCTGCTGCCCTGGCTCTTCTGCTGGTTGTTACAACAGTTGTTTTCTTTATAAGGAAGAACACGGTGTCAAGGAGAAGAGGTATAAATATTTTATATTTAGGTAGGACTGAGAGTTATTAGAATTTAGAACTGTAAATACTGAAGGTTGTTGCAATGTTGTTCTTACCTCAGAAAGAAGACAGTTTGGTGCTCTTCTCGACAGAGTAAACAAGTCCAAGCTAAATATGCCTTATGAGATTCTTGAAAAGGCAACAAATTACTTCAATGATGCCAACAAGCTAGGACAAGGGGGGTCAGGTTCTGTTTATAAAGTAACTATTTTCAGATCTTATGTGTTATTATCCTTTTGGACAATCTAATTGTTGCTAACATTTTGCTTGACTATATTTTTTGTTCCAATGTAGGGAGTTATGCCAGATGGAATTACTGTTGCCATAAAAAGGCTAAGCTTTAACACAACACAATGGGCGGATCATTTCTTCAACGAGGTCAATTTGATCAGTGGCATTCAACACAAAAATCTTGTAAAACTTTTAGGGTGCAGTATTACAGGACCTGAAAGCCTTCTTGTTTATGAATATGTGCCCAACCTGAGCCTCTATGATCACATTTCTGGTTGTAACTTTATCTCTGATATCCGGTCAAAGTTCCCTTCTTTAAAAAAATCTTATTATATCTCCGATGAATTTCTCCAGTTAGAAGGATTTGTCAACCGCTGACTTGGGTAATCAGGCATAAGATTATATTAGGAATTGCTGAGGGCATGGCCTACCTTCACGAGGAATCACATGTGAGAGTCATTCATAGAGACATAAAATTGAGCAATATTCTGCTTGAGGAGGACTTCACACCGAAGATTGCTGATTTTGGACTTGCTAGATTATTTCCAGAAGACAAGTCTCATCTTAGCACAGCCATTGCTGGTACATTGTAAGTGCATGTCCTTCTTCTGCATCTTGTGTTTTTCTGTATGTGCCATCAATGAGGGAAATGTCTTGCATAGGCCTTAGATGACAGGAAGGTGAATTTTCGTTAATCAAAATACTGGATGCCTTCTGTTAATTAGTGCTTTATAATTTATATTACTAGCCTTGTGAAAGACCAACTGATTACTGTTGCATTCTATAATGGTATTTTTATCTATTCCGCATTGTATTATGAATGGTTGTTTCTTTCCTATGCACTCTTAATATCCATGGTTGACGAGCACTTATATATCACATGTTATAAGGAAATATAAATGAACCCTTAGCTGATTTCTTGATCCCAAGATTTGAAACATGATTCATATATTATTCCTGCTTGATTCTCTTACAGTTTATCATGTGTTCATATTAGGGGGTATATGGCTCCAGAGTATGTTATTCTTGGGAAGTTGTCTGAGAAAGCTGATGTTTACAGTTTTGGAGTTCTAGTTATCGAAATTGTGTCTGGCAAAAGAAACAGTTCCTTGATTATGAATTCATCCTCTCTCCTACAAACGGTAACTGTTTTCATCTGGCATGTTGCCACTACATACTAATTCATTTCATTTCTTTTAACAAAACAAACATTCTGATGATAAGTAACTTCCGTTTATCGATGACCTTTGTACAAGGTTTGGAGCCTCTATGGATCAAATAGGCTATTTGAAGTTGTTGATCCGACCCTATACGGTGCTTTTCCCGCAGAAGAAGCATGCAAACTCCTTCAGATAGGGCTGCTTTGTGCACAAGCATCTGCAGAGTTGAGACCATCAATGTCAGTAGTAGTTAAAATGGTTAATCACAATCACGAAATTCCTCAGCCAACACAACCGCCATTTATTAATACTGGTAGTTCAGAAGTCAGCAGATCTGGTTTACCTGGATATAATTTTCAGCCTGGATGCAACACTCAGTCTTCATCAAATACCATGACTGAGAGTCAGATTGAACCTAGATGAGTTACATTATACAACCTTTCTCCGGGACTAAATTTGTGCTCAGTCACAACCCCCAAGTACCCTATAAAAGTTGTATCATGCTTGCTTTCTGGAAAAAGTATGGTTTCAATTATCAGCATGGCATTGCCGTTGTGCATGTCTGAGTGAATTGAAAGGGGAGTGACATAACCCCACGTATGAATAATATGTCAACAGTTAGGACCGATTGCTATGTATATAGATTACAGTTTCACAAAAAGCTGCAAGGTAAACAAGTTAAATTTTCCAAAAACTTGTACATTACATTTCACACAGATCACCTACAAAAATAATCAATAAGTAGGCTGATCTATGCAAAATTTATACTACATGTTTTTAAACCTTTTGAGTTCTCTTCTAACACCTGATTGGAGTGATCTACTACCTAGAATTTTACATGTAACCACAAACAATTATTTATTTACATTTTATTCTTTATGTAATAGAAATTTACTTTAAGTTCCTTGTATTATTGTATTTTATTTTCTTGTCTACAGACAACTCTCAGAACTCCTACTATATTGTCATCATAATATGATTTGTTTAAATATGCTAGATTTTTAAGAAAATAGGAAAATTTACTACTAAATGAATACAGATACAACCTTTGGTTTCATTAATAAAAATGCCATTTTTTTTCCATTCCATTATGAGTGCCTTCAACTATAAAAGAAAAACCCTCCCCAGCTGAATGCATAGCTTGTATATTTTTGTTGGGGGTGTTGCTGCCAGGGTTGAAAGTTCAAAGGAGTGTGTGGTTGGACTGTGAGATGTGAAGATAAATTAACAGAAGGAAGAGCATGCGCTGACTAGATTAGAATTCAACAAAATAATGTTTCTTTATAGAATTTTTCTTGGACCAAGAAAGCACATGAATGGGACTAAGTTAAGTAAAAACACATGTTATGACAAGAAATGAAATTAGTAAGTTTGACTTCGCTTGCAATCGACATGATTTCATATCAGAAGGAAATATCTTGTCTGGTCAATGGTCATGGCTCCTTTTCTGAGCTCACACTTTCAACTCTCTACAGGAAAAGTCATGGGACAACATAATGCAACCCACATAAATGCAGAGAGGACCTTACGACAATTAAGTGAGACACTGTCATCAGAATATTTTTTTTTATAAGCAATACTCAACACCCAAAAACAGAATACGATTTAAAATAGAGAAACGACATTAAAAAACATGAAATACATAAATAGCATACTAAATAAAACTGATTCAAAGATTATGGACGTAAGGTTAAAAGACATTCTTATATCAACAGAAGAGATTCACTTCTAAGAATAAAGACTAATAAAGTTAAGCAACTTCAATTGATCCACAACGCCTTGATTAAAGATCACACAGTTCCGGTGCAACCAAATGGACCAGAACTCAAATAATAACAAAGTACTGGGATCGCTTATTACTCCTCCTTTGATCACACCAAACAAAAAAAAAGGACACCAAAGAAGAAGGCATAACAAAATTAACATTAAACCGGCAAAAAATATCCATCCACGTATTATATGTCACCGAAAAAAACAAAAAAAGATGCACCGGATCTTCTACAAATAAATTACACATATGACACAAAGCAGAATTCATCTGCACACCACGCCTCTCCAGAAGCAACCTGCAGGGAACAGAATTCAAGAAAAACTGCCAAGAAAATACTAAGCATTTGATAGGTACTTCACATTTTCAAAGTCTGCACAATACCTCCTAAAGAGTAACATCAAGAGACGGAATATTAAGCAGAAGAATCAACAACCAACAATAAGCAGACTTAACAGAATATAACCCTGAAACATCAACCAACCAACACCAGTGATCCTCCAGGTGAGGATGCAACACAAATTCATCCAGAAATTTCATCAAACTCGCTACCAATGACAACTCATATGAAAAGGGACGACGGCGCCAAGGAATGACCTAAACCCAATTATCTCCAGACCAATGACCATTCTGTGCAACAACCGAAGAAGGATCGAAAGTAAAGGAATATAATCTGGGAAAAACCTCTTTTAGCCTAAAACCACCCAACCACCTATCCTCCCAAAATCTTGTCAAAGTACCATCCCTACAGCCCGTATATATCTTCTCATCAACTCATTGCCCTCCTAACTGTAAAGTAGACACAATATCCTGCCACCAACTAGAAGCACGTCGATCCACCAAACACACACTCAACAACAACGGGACCTTGTCATACCGCGCCTGAAGAACCTACGCCCAAATAGTCCTCGAATATGATAAGTAATGCCAGATCCATTTGCCAAGTAAAGCATAATTAAACAACTTCACATCCTTAATTTCAAGTCCACCTGCTCCCTTCGGGCGACACACCAACTTCCACCGGACCCCAGGGAACTTAGACCGATCCTTAACCCCATTCAAAAAAAAAAGGACAAATTTATAAATATGTGAATGTCTTAATATTCAATAGTTTGAAGTTGGTCAAAAGAAAATTAAATTATAAAAAAATCCAAAAAAAAAAGAATTAATATAAAAGATATTCAAAAATCATCCCATGATAATTCATGCCTTACTCTTAAAGTGTAATTTTTCTATATTTGTTCTTTCATTTAATTTTCTTATACTTTCATTACATTCACTTTAATATTTTCCTAATGTACAATTCTATAAAATATTATTTTGGTTGTGGTAAATTTACGAATTTTGTAAATGATATTGATAATTTCTTTTTTCTTATTTTGGTCTCTAGTAATATTTTTATTCATATTGTAATCTTGTTCATGATGTCGTTGAATGACACACGTTAATTATTAGTAATTAAGATTAACATCTATATTATTTTCTTTCATTTTTTGTATTCAGCAAATTTGTATATTTTATTTTTTATCTTTAATAAAAAATATCCTATTCTGGTCTCCTATAACATTTCTTAATGATGTATCGTCTTAAATAACTATAAGATAAGCGTGTGACGAAATAGAACGATATGCAAACAGTATCGTTTGATAAATAAGATAGAAAGAAATAAAAATGCAGACTCGTGGTTTGAAAAAATAAAACAGAAAGAAATAAAAATTGCAGATTCTCAGCGAAGGGGAAAACAAGTTCATCACATTGGTTCTTTTTTAAATAAAGTAATTTTAAAAGTATAACCATTATATTTAGTTTTTAAAAAATCAAATTTTATTTGATTAATTATTGTATATCTCGAAAAGATATTTTGACTATTAAAAAACATAAAACATGGACTGTAATTTCTCTTCTCAATTTATGGATAGCTTTTAATTTTACTCATTCAATATTAAATTGTTTACATATTTAATATTATATTTCCCTAATTTTGCTTAATATACTAATTATATTTTATAATTTTATATACTAATTATATATATATATATATACAAGTTTTTTTCTATTCATTATTTTTATTACATGTGTTGTTATCGAAAATTGAATATTTCTCTTATCGAGTAGGTTAATCATGTTAAATCTTTAAATTTAAGCCAATGTATGAATTTTAAAGAAAAAATACTTTATTGATGAAAGCAGGGACAATCTTATCAATAAAAGAATAAATTAAAAAAAAAAAAAACTTCGAGGAACAAACAATAATAATTGTGAAAAACGTAAATAAATAATAATAATAAAAAAAAACATATATATTACGCTTAACAAATGATAAAGTTGAACCCTGGTTTGAATGGTGAGTGTTGGACGTAACCGCGTAGATGCACTATCTATGTAGTTGACTTTGAATAAGAAAAAACACACTTTGAGCCATGTCACATTGTGTTCCTTTTTTTTTTTTTTTTCAACTCTTCTTTTTCAAGTTTCAACCAACCTTCAATCTACCACCTTATCTTCACCTTCTAATTTTGCTTTCTTCTTAATTGGCTTCAAACTTCAATTTCATCTGTAATATGAAATGTGAGATCTGTTGGAGAACTTCATTCATCAGGTTTAGTTCACGCCTTCAATACACAACACAGGTAACAACTTCACAAACTTCAATAAGAACATGTTTAACATGTGACTAAACTTTATTGTTTTTAATTTAACCTTACCTAGTTACCTTGGTTGTAGTCTCTAGAAAAAAACTTTCATAGTCCCCACTCACCGCGTTTTTTCGAAATTTTGATTACACAATTGACCATGAGTACCAGAAGAGCACTAAGAGTCAATGAAACGATCTTCATATTGATTTTTCTGTTTGCCGTTAGCAGATTCTGGATCGGTTTCCACAACGCAAAGTATACGCTTCTTTTACGAAGTTATTCACTGTGCAAGTGTGAAACTAAACTGCCCCCAAGATCTGCTTTTTTCAATATTGTCTGCCAGAGAGTCAGGGCCACTTCACAAGAAACTATTACGTTATCTCTGTCAATCTTCACTTGACATGATCGAGGTTTTTAATTTACTGAAAAGAAATTGATGAAGGTGAGTTACCTATCATTCAAGATTTGTTGGTGGTCCTGAATTTCTTCATTTCACTTGATTTGGAACTTTGGGTGAGGACGCAAGAAAGTTGTGAGCCGACTTAGATTTCTGCCTTTTCACATAGCTTAGATTGTGTTCCCGTCTTCAAGTGGCTTTCTCTCTTAAGGAATAGAAGGCTTTTGGAATCTAGTTATTAACTGGATAGGAAGGAATAGCTCATCTAATGATGTTTCCAACATTAAACCTTAGCTTGGTAAACTGAAATGTATTAAGTGCACCATTTATTTTGGTGAAGTGTTCTTCCATGGTAAACGATATAATCATATAAGGTTTGTTTGATAAATTTCTTCCTAAAATATTTGTAAGAGAAGAGAATAAGAGAGCAAATCTGTAGGACAAGTTTTCTTCTATTTTTCTTCTTCTAGAGGTACCTCTGTGTAAATTTACTCAACATGTCCACGAACGATGTAGCCTAAATAGTCCAAAGGCTCTGACACTCGTTTTCTGCAGATCCTGGTGGAGAAGGCCAGGGAAAGTGATTAGATCCGATCATCACAAAAAATGGAAAGAATGGTCCCTGTTGTCTATTTCCAATGCCTTGTTTTCCTTCTCATGAAGGCTTTATTGCTATCAAAAACAGTGATGGCAGAACCAAGGGCCAAGACTGTCAATATAACATGTAACCACAAGCTAGAGCACAACTCCACTATCTTTGTTCCAAATTTTGTTGCAACCATGGAGAAGATTAGTGAACAGATGCGCAACACTGGTTATGGCAAAGCAGTTGTAGGGACAGGAGGACCTGACACTAACTACGGGTTAGCTCAGTGCTATGGTGATCTCTCATTACTTGACTGTGTTTTATGTTATGCCGAGGCACGCACAGTTCTTCCCCAATGCTTCCCTTACAGCGGTGGTCGCATATACCTTGATGGCTGCTTCATGAGGGCTGAAAACTACAGCTTCTATGATGAGTACACAGGACCAGGAGACAAGGCTGTTTGTGGAAACACAACAAAGAAGAACGCAAGTTTTCAAGCAGCAGCAAAGAAGGCCGTTATGACTTCTGTTCAAACTGCACCAAACAATAAAGGGTATGCTAGGGCTGAGGTTGCAGTAGCAGGAACAGCAAATGACTCAGTTTATGTTCTGGCTAACTGTTGGAGAAGCTTGGACGCAAAGTCTTGTAGAGCTTGTCTTGAAAATGCATCTTCTTCCATATTAGGGTGCCTGCCCTGGTCAGGAGGGCGAGCACTGAACACTGGATGCTTCATGAGGTACTCAGACACAGATTTTCTTAACAAGGAAGAGGAAAATGGTTCAGGAGGTAACTAGATTGCATTTTTCTTCACTGTAATTAAGTATTATGGGGCTTTGTGATGATCCAGCTTTTAGCGTTATGAAAAATTTACACCTAATAGTATGAGTTCTTTTTGCTGGATTGTGCAGATAATGTATTAGTGATAGTGATTGCAGTTGTCAGTTCAGCGATTGTTTTGGTAATTGGAATAGCTATTGTGGTTTATATCCGAAAACTCAGATACGTTCAAATGAAACGAAGAGGTGAATGGTTTAATGTTTTTATACATTTGCTTGTAATAAGTATGTCAGACACAGAAGTCACATAATTCCAAGTTACAAAGCAGCATAACTTTGTAACTGTTAGTTCGTACAATGTAGGACAAAATATCAGTCTCCATCTCATGTTCCTTAGTCCTATTTAATAAAATGTTTAATCATAATTGTATTGTAGGACAAATATTTTCCAGATCTTCCTTAATATCCTTGTCATTCTGTTTTTCAGGTTCAAGTGATGCAGAAAAGTTAGCCAAAAGCCTTCACCACAATAGCTTGAACTTCAAATACTCTACACTGGAGAAGGCTACTAATTCCTTTGATGAAGCTAACAAGCTTGGACGAGGAGGATTTGGAACGGTTTATAAAGTAATTTTTGCCTCTACAGACCTACATCCCCACCATATTTTACATTTCAAAGCCACTCTTAACAACTTTTTATCACAGGGAGTTCTGCCTGATGGAAGAGAGATTGCTATCAAGAGATTATATTTCAACAACAGACACAGAGCAGCAGATTTCTACAATGAAGTCAACATGATTAGTAGTGTGGAACACAAAAATCTGGTCAGACTCTTAGGATGCAGTTGTTCAGGACCTGAAAGCCTGCTTATATATGAATTGCTACCTAACAGAAGTCTCGATCGCTTCATATTTGGTAATAACTAAACTCATGGAATAGGCTATCTCCTTTCACATTTGAAAATCTCTCCATTTGATGGTTAGTCATAAAATTTCAACTTCATATGTTTTTTCTCAATTTTTTTCTACATTTGCTAGATAAAAACAAGGGTAGAGAACTAAGTTGGGACAAGAGATATGACATTATCATCGGGACAGCTGAAGGATTGGTTTACCTGCATGAGAACTCTGACATTAGGATAATCCACAGAGATATAAAAGCCAGCAACATCTTATTGGATGCAAAGCTTCGCGCTAAAATTGCCGATTTTGGTTTGGCCAGATCCTTTCAAGATGATAAGAGCCACATTAGTACAGCTATTGCTGGAACTTTGTAAGTATCTTTTACCAATGGTACAATTGTTTGTCAACCAACATTCTAATAATATACGAGCATTAAAACAATTTTTATTATAGTGTATTTTTTTTTTAATTTTAATTTTTTGTGTTTGTGGACTTGCAGAGGTTATATGGCTCCAGAGTACCTAGCACATGGTCAGTTAACAGAGAAAGCAGACGTATATAGCTTTGGAGTGTTACTGTTAGAAATAATTACTGGGAGACAGAATAACAGGAGCAAAGCATCAGAATATTCCGACAGCCTAGTGGCAATGGCAAGTTGTACCATTTAATTTTATTTGTTCTATTGTTTTTCATCTAGTTAAGACAAGATTGCTTCGTGAACTGACTTGTCCTTCTCTTTTACTACTCTTAATATCTTCTGACAAAATCAGACATGGAAGCATTTTCAGTCAGGGACAGCGGAACAATTAATTGATCCATGTCTATTGTTGGATGACAACCATAGAAGCAATGTTAAGAATGATATTTTAAGAGTGGTGCAGATAGGACTTCTATGCACCCAAGAAATCCCTTCCTTGCGACCATCTATGTCAAAGGCTCTAAAGATGCTAACAAAGAAGGAGGAGCACATGGAAGCACCCTCCAATCCACCCTTCATAGATGAAAGTACCATGGCACTTCATGATCAAAATGATGACCCATTTTACCCTCTCTATGTAGCAGACTCATTGGCTACTATGTCCCATAGCTCATTTTATCCAAGGTAACTAATACAATACAGAGAAAAACACACTACACACTCTGGCTGCGGACTAGCTTCACTTGGGCATGCCATGGAGGTTACTTACTACCAAAGTATTTGAATATTTGAACAAATACGAATTGAAGTTCATGCCTGCACACAAGAAGAGCTGTTAAGCCAAATTCCTTAGACGGGGTAATGGCAACCAATTTTTCTATACCATGTCATTTGTGAGGGAGTATTTCCGTCCGTGGGATTAAATTACATATCTGTATATGATTTATGGCTGTAGAATAATTGAAGAATGTATTTTACAGAAATTCATTACAAGCTACAGTGTATTTGTACTTTGATCTGTAAAACGTTTTTTTTAACGGTGACGTGCCTCTCCACTGTCACGTGACTTGGTTGGTGGATAGATCATATCATCATTTTCAAGTAATACACGGGCTAAATAGTCTTGCTCTGAATATCAAAAAAATTATATCAAATAAATATTTTTCATTTCTTTTTTTTAGAACTGTCATATTTTTTTAACATAGTAAAAAATTAATTGAGTTTCATATTAATTAAGTATTATTTAAATACGCTTGCAGCTTCAAATGATCTCACCATTTCAATATTATGTAAATTTAAAACCATATAGCACATATCATTTTTAAATTATTTAGTTACAAAAAAAGATAGCTCTATATCTCGTGGAACATTATTTAAATTGATAATAAATTAGCTTTATTTTAACACTCTTTCTATTATTTATATATGTAATAATAATAATTATAGTAAGCATAAGATAAAAATGAAAATGTGTATGACAAGAATAAAAAATTGTTTAATAAAGCTTAATTTCAATAGTGTATAAAATTGATACTTTGCAGAAGATTTCATTTTTTTAATTTAAATTTTATTTTTTGTTCTTGTCATTGTTAAAAAAAATTATTTAGAAATAAAACATGTAATCATTTTCTGATTCTAATAAAACAGTCACGCTACTTTCTTTCTTTTATTTCTATATTAACAATGCATATATGCAAATTAATTAAACATAAGGTAAAAGGTATAACTGATAAAAAAAATAATTAATATTATCTTAAATATTGAAAAAAAAAAAGAATATAAATGAAATTCTTTTAAAATTTTGGCAATAGAAAATAAAAGGAAAAGATTTTTTGAAACCCAATTTTTCCAAACATCCCATAAACAATTGATTGATAGAGAGAATGAAATAAAATAAATAAATAATAATATAAAAATCTAAAAATAAATTATTGAATAAATATTAAAAAAAACGACTAACAAAATATCATAACCTAGTACCAAAGATTGTTCGCGTCTTTTTGTCACATTACACTACTGCTGCTAACAAAAAAGAAAATACACATAAAAAAGCATTAGAAATTAATGAAGGATACATAATGCAGATTGTCAATCATGTTGGCATACTACTAATATAACCACGGTCTCTCATTCGGAAATCCTAATTAAGTAATCAATAAAACATGCTAAACGTTTTTGGTTTTACCAATAAAAATCCACTTGTCACTTAAGTATTCATATAAAGTGAGAGAAAAATCCCTAATAGTTGGGCAGACCAAGTGCCAATGACATTTTCTATTCGTTTTCGTGCACTGAACATATTTTAGAAGTTATGCTTTAAGTATATATATCTTGATTCCCGCGCGAAGGGCAAATGGGGATAAAATTCAAACTTACGGATGAAAAGGAAAATGTTTTTAGTGTGTATTTATGTCATTGCTTAAGGCTAAAAGGGTTAGTTGACATCTATATATGTCTAGATATGCTTTATTAAAGTATCCAATAAACACTTGCTGGTATTGTATAGGAAAAATAATGAAAAAACAAAACCATTTGATAGCCTACGACTGTTGTTGTATTATTATATAGCAGAGAAGCGATAACTATTATACTGTGTAGTATAGCATTAATTCACATAATCTATCTATTTTTGTTTCTTTGTATCAATGAAAAAATTCTACTACAGATATGGAGGAAAAGATGACAGGACATGATAATTTGACGAGTATAATTTGGAGTCAGAACACATTTAATAAAAAAGTCGATGATAAAAAGTAAAAGAGGGTTGATGCTAATACTCCAGGAACCAAAACAACAAAAAACATTCCATTCCAAACGTCATGAGTAGATATTTATCAAGACTACAAGCGAAGCGAATTATTTAACCCAATTTTTGCAGTGAAGTAAGCATTCCAACGTAAGCCCTTCTGCCTTGAGGATTTACAGAAGAAAGCACAGAAAATAATTAATGAGGATATACATTTGAGTGGAAGAGGCATGCACATTACCTCATTCATCAGTAAGGAACCGACCAGTAAGACCATCCACCACAGAAAATGGCATATTCTCCGATGGTTTCCAGTGACGCTTTCTTTGATTAATAAACCAATTGTTAATTTGCTTCTGGTCTAACCCAGTTGATTTAGCCAGTGCAATCTTATCACCTTCCTGGAAGATCAACGAGAAACAAGGTTTTGTTTGACATGTAAGCTTAATGCCTATTCTCTGTAAAGCAAGTTTTCATGTATTCCATTTATATAGATAATATACAAATATCAAGCAAATCCTAGCACCTTTTACTCCAAAGATATATACCCTGAAAATGAAGCTTGAATGACGAATATTTACCGTAGGGTAAGGCCATTTGTAGTGCATATTCCACCACTGAAGTAGTGTTTGCCTAGCGTCTTTTGGCAGCTTACCCCTCTTTTTCTTCTTTGAAAATTCCAATTTCAAAGAACCAATGTGACTTCCAAACTTCCGTAAAAGTCTATCCTTCAGCTCTCGATCTTCACTACGCAATTGCTCATCATGGGGATCAACATCTCCAGCACTAAAACCTTCTTCCGAAGATACACCCCCATCATCTAGCCAAAATAATAGCAAAACTAGTCATAAGAGCAACACGGCATCTTTGTAAGTATTATTCGAAAAGATATATCAGTTTTATCATTTCAAGAATTTATCACATTAAACAAATTGTCTTCATCAAATCTTCCAAAATTGACGACACATGCAAGAAACTTTATACATGACCCAGAAATGTTCCACAGACTCGAGTTTGTTAACTTCACATCCAATAATGACAATATCATTCGTGGACAATACTATTATGCCAGGAGGACTACGTTATCACGTACATTTCCTTAACACGAGAGAGGTTAGCCGAGCTAAATATTCATTCATGACGGTCATTCTAAATTTTAAATATGATTGGTTTAAGTTTTTAAAATTCATTTTAGAAATTAATAATAAAAAAATTAATTTCGAAAATAATTGATATAATTGTTTTATAATTATGATTTAAAAATTATTTTAAACAAAAAATAATACCGTGACAAAAACATGACAAAATTGATTTAGAATATAAAATTTTGAGAATTTAATAATTATAAAGAACCACATGATAATGCTTAACGAATTCGTTATTTTATTTCTATACATAAAAATTAAAAATTAATAAAAAAAAACATTTTATCAATTTTGATTATTAAATTTATAAAAACTAAAAAAAAATGTTTTAACAATACTCCAATCAACAAACAAATTTCATAGTTTTTAAACACTAATAAATAGAAAATTATTTTAAGAACAGTATACGATAAATTGAGCAATATCCAAAAGATCAAAAATTGGTTAGTAAGCTATTTTTAATAACTCAGAATTCCTCCTTTACAATAACTTTTTACTACTGCTAAATATCCACCACTGGTGTTCTCCATCAGTTATTTCCCTCAATCATAGAACAAGTATTCGCGTACCTAATCAATCATTCATCTCTCACCAAAATAGACAAGAAATTTTTAAACTTTCTTCCCCTCACTATCTTTTACGATTTTGTAGTTTTTAAATCAAGTCATTAATCATGAGAAAAGAAATTGATTCAAGTACGAAAAATTACCTTCCTAATAATGACAAAAATATGAAGATTTGAAAGTTCAATAATTTTATGCTAATTTTACTATAAAAACAAAGATTAAAGTCTGAAAAATCGCTTTTAGAGTACGTTGAAAGAAAAGAAGAAAACATTAATTAACTGCATTATTGTCTCCGCCTAAAGAGAATTTACAACTAAGATATTCTTTTGCAGTATAAATTCAGAACATTTTTTTCCCAACTTTTGTTATTTTTTTCTCATTAGGTTACTCAGACATTTCGTTTAAAGGATAGAAAAGACATGATAAATGTAAAAGTGAATGTGCAAGATGGAAGAAAAAGAGAAAGAAGAAACCAAAATAACGTAGTATTCATTATTATATACCTTTCATTACACATTATTGTTTACATGTTGACATTTTTTTTAAAACTGAAGAAATGTATTTTATTTATTTCCATTCCATCTTTTTAATTTTTGTTCCCTTTAATCTATTTTATTTTTCCAACATGTTCTTGTTTACATGTTGACATTTTATTTTTGTTCAATTAAAGATGCTACGTAGTTTTCTTTTCTATTTCTCAATATTATTTACCCTTTTATCTCTAATATTTACATCCCTCTAAAAATATTGTTCTCTTTGGTTTTATGAAAAGAAATAGAAAAGATGAAAATACATAAGAAATAAGTTGTTAAAAAAAAGATAAATCGTAAAATTAATTACTTGGTTAAGATATGTGAGAAATAAAGAAAAAGTGTTTTGAAATTTGTGTCATTCGATTGAAATGATAGAAAATATAATGGTAGTAAAATTATGTCAGAAGCAGTAGATTGAGTCTCACTATTCTTTAAAATTAATTGTCCTCCACATCTCTCAGATAAACCAACAAAATTAATTCTTCCTTTTGCCCCTACACTAAACAAACCTTAACAGTGAGTTTTAATGGGATGATGGGGAAGTTGAGAAAGGATGATTAGATGAGAAGAAATTGAATACTTTGATATAAGAGGAAGGTGAACCCTCACCCCTTGCTTACCTCGTCAGAGATGCTGACAACAAAATAAAAATTAAGATAACAATATGAACAAGACAAATCGAGATTTTTTGGTACATGTTAATATGTGACTTGTCTAGCACATTTGTTGGTCTAAAGATTTCAGAGGCTAGCCTAGTCTCTCCTTTTGCATTCATGCTAAAAATCAGTTATTTAGCCATAATATGGCTCCAACATAAGTACTAATCAATAATGGTTTCTCCTTAATCAATTTATCTCTCTGTATAATTTATCCAATTTGGTGATTTTATTTAAACAAAAAACGAAAAATTAAAGAACCAATAATACCAGGCAAATTTATCTTTCCACATGTTATTAATCTTTTCTTTCTTTTCAACCAAAAACATAATTTTTTATATTTTTCATTTATTTATTCTTCTTTCCAGCTGTATTTAAATTTAATTATATAAATTACTTTTTACTCTCATTTTTCATCCAATTCTCTTTTTCTTTTCTCCTTTTAGTCAGTATTTTTTTCACTCCAATCATTCAAACAAAGACTAGTAATGGTGTTTTGATTATGAGAAAAATCATAAAAAATATAGAATAGAGAAGAAAAATAGGTGAGAAAAAAAAATGTTATGATAATCATGTAATTTGTAGGATGTGAAAAAACGAGACACAGATAAATAAAAATAATAACTATTAGATAGTATAACTAATCCCACCATTTTTTATAGTTAATTCCCCTCTACTTCTCCTTCAACCAAACTAACAAAACTAATTATCTCCCTCGCCTTCTTCCTCCTACTCGCTACAAAACACTCCCTAAAAGACCTGGATGATATCCAGGAATAGCAAAGAGATAGTTTAGTGCAGGCTAGCAGGCCACGGGCAGGTAGAAGTAAATGATAGACACTCAAACCGACAAGGATTTGACCACCACATAGGTGTACACTGTACACACCTGACCTAGGTTGGAAAAAATAAACCAAAATGAAAAAGGAAATCGGTGCTCAGAGCCAAGTTCCATCCGTTGTCAGTCACCAGTGCCAAAGTAGAGAGCCTCAAGTTTACATCGAAGCAACCAAGCACGAGAACACTACCGTTCTTAATATTATGGGCACCAGACGTGAAAATGGAAGAAAAGAAATATAAGAAAAGAAAAACAGTTACGCGTCTATCTATTTGAGAAAATATAATAGAAAAAGTAAACAATAAACTTGAAGAAAAAAAATAATCAAATGTCCTTTTACTTAATTTTTTAATTTATATTCAAACTTACTCTCATATCAGCTAAATGCAGGTAAGCTATAGTTTAAAATCATATTATTATTGATGCTAAGAGTGAAGACAAACTAGGATATAACTACAAAACAAAACAGCCCAAGTACGCCTATATCATTAAGTCTCAGATAATACATGAGGGGCCAAATACTAAGTTGTTTCTGTTTTGTCCTCTCCAATCCACCAGACAAAATTGGACAAGTGTTTTCATTTATTGGACAAGTGATTTCATTATTTCATTGGACATTATATTTTCTATATTCAATATTCCTTTAGATAGTGAATCTGTTGTGTACGAAAATTGCAAGTGAATGGCAGTATTATTAGAAACATCTATACCACAAATAAATTTACTTATTACGGTGTTCCGCTTACGCAATAAGTATAAAATAAAAAATTGTGAAGTTAAGATTATTATTATTCTTGACCCAACAGTAAAAATTAGCAAATATGAATATTTCAAATATACCAAGCCTATGCAAATTAGATTTAATTATACATTTAGTCTTTATAATTGTAAAAACGTCCCTTATAGTGTATGTAATATTTTTAGGCTCCGAATAAAATACAATATTATAAAAGAGGGTAGTACCAATGTATAATTTGAAACACCTTTCTGTAACAATATTTTTACCCTTATGATTTTGGCCGTCTAATATCATCCAACACTACTTGAAATAAACGGGGATTAACTGGTCCATATCATGATTGTTTAAAACTTAACTACATAGAATAATAAGGTAAAAAAAATTGCAGCAATGCAGATAACAAACAGAATATTTTAAAAGAAAAATAGATAGATAGGCTTTAGAAATTAAAATACAAACCCCATCCAACATCCATTCAAAATTATTAAATGTTAAATAATAAAAGAATATATTATAAATCCCGAGTGTTTCTGCTATTTGAGTGTGTTTTCTACCTGGGTGTTTTTGCTATTTGAATGTGTATATATAATCACTCTATTTGAAATCGAAGGAACTTAGAGAAAAATCTTGTAACAATGGAGACAAGAAAGTATTCAAAAACCACCTATTTTGAGCTTATGAAAAGACAGATCCTTGAAAAAAATTGCGGTAGTTTTAATTTGTGGCATAAATGTTAAGCGGAGTGAAGACAATAGGATTGTTTTCCTTGCAAGGAGGGGCCCGGGGCCCGTTTCCCAAAAGGAGAGTGCATTTGGAGATCGACAAGTGTTATGTGTAGTGCAAGATCCAGAAGGTAAATGCGAGCAAGACCCACAACCACAAGGAGGTAGAAGAGAACAAAATATCCAAGGGCAATGGCAGAAGTGTGCAGGGAGGGTATAGTGCGTGGGAAAGATCTAAATGGCATTGAACGTTCTATCAACATAAAAGCTGCTTTACCTCTCAGCGACAATTGCGGGAGTGCATGTGAAAGTTTTAACTCTAAAATCACCCGCTGCACACGGGAATTTCCAATATTTATACTTTAACTACCTCCCAATATCTCATGCTTTTGCAGTAACTCCAAAACCCAACAAGCTTTGGAAAAGAACCATGACATCAAATATGTGCAGCAGGCATATGACTGTATCATACCTCCACCTCCTCTTAACACTATCTTTACATTACTTTATTGAAGTACTGAAACTTTTTTTGTTTTACATATAAACGAGAAACGATGTACAAAAATCATTATTTTTTTCTTTAGTCTTTATTCTTAAAACAAGATTTTACCTCAAACATTAAATATCATTCAGAAGAAAAGTAAAACCACCAATGATATAATTACAGGATGCTTCCGTCCTGTGCCAAACGTAGGGTTTATATAACTCTCCATGCGAAGTACTGCAAGTTGCCATTGGCGTCTCTCTCTCTCTCTCTCTCTCTCTCTCATATATATATATATATATATATATATATATATATATATATATATATATATATATATATATATATATATATAATATAGTAACAGCGCAACACAAGATCACACAAATCCATATGATCTAATTAATCCTTCCCAATCAACAAATACTAAACATGTCCCACATATAATATTAAGACCAATTGGGTAGCATTGCAACAATATGGCAAGACTAATACATAGCAAAATTCTATTTAGCAAAAGTGCCAATAACTAGGTAATTATTCTATAATTTCCTCACAACCTATGCATCATGATCTCTATAAAACAAATCATCGATTACAAATCTAATCCAAAAAATCCGGTCCCACAGTGAAACGCATCAAAAACCAATGTTAACAGAGGGAAAGTTGCTTATGTGACTAATGAAGACTAAAATCAGGCCATGATTCTAGTTGCAGCAATGTTCAAAATAAGGCAAGCAAATGGATCATTTGGAAAACCACTTCAAAACCAACAGCTGTTCTCATTTTAGATGTTCAAGTTAAAATACATAATCCATTTCAATGATCTTATAAGACCTTTTTGAAAATTTTAAAATTTAATTATATAATTAAATATTTTATATTCTTAGGATTCAAGTCTTACATTTAAAAATCTCACCATAATATATCAGCAAAAGTGTTGTAATAAGATTTCCTATAAAATCTAAGTCTTAAATTTTAGATTCTAGCAAAGACCCCTACATTAAAGATGTTCTAACATAAATGCCGACAATGTCAATATTGTAAAGCTATAATTCTTAAAATGCAGGAGCTTCGAGGCAGCAATAAATTCAGTTTAACCTAAATGAACTAAATGCCTTACAATTTCTACAAATAAAACATAAATTTGTCACTGGCAGCTTAACTTAAACTCAAGCTAGTACCACATATTTGCTTCAATAAATACAAGATCCAATTTGATGCCTGCAGCGATTGCAGTACAAGGGCATATAAAGGTAATCAAAAGAACATAGGGGAAACAAATCAAGGAATTTCAGGTCCTGCCAATTTCGCTTTTCAGACACACGTTCAAGAAAGATAAGTTTGCAAAAAGAATGATTAAGGAGAATCCACCCAAGCATGCACTACAAATCAATTTTAAAGTTAAAACATCACTTAAAAGGTAATGTGTACTTCTAAACATAAACTATAAATCTTGTTAGTTGCCAACCATAACCCACGTGATCATACTTTGCATTTGCAACGTTTCTGTTTCTAATAAAATATTATTAATCAACAAGACCCACAGTATGCCAGCTTCATCATATTGAGCAATTTGGTCATAGCATAAATGAAATATGAAGCATAAAGGAAGGGTTAAAAATCCTAAGCAAATTAGTTACTTCCCACAGAAATCAGTGTACTCTATATCTACATGACTTCGATAATATTTACCTATACATGTTATCAGATAAAAAAGGATGGAAAAACCATCAATTTCCAACAGGCTACAATCGTTAATTTAGGCAATGCATTCAACCCTTATTTGACATAATTTGAAACTCCACGAATTTAATGCTTTGGACGTAATAAGGCCAAGGAGAATAAAACCTAACAACAATTATGCTGGGCTCATTTATAAAACTTCGTTAAAGCATTTTTCTATTCTCTAAAATTACAAAAATCAAGCATTACTTTAGATCCAGCGAGACAATATCATTAGAAATGCCAAGGGGGAGTTCATTAAATATCAAAACCTACATCACCCACGCTCAGCTGGAACACGATACGATACTATTTTAAAGTATGAAATCAAACATCATTACATACTAATATAGTACACGAGTTATGTATGATCTCAAATCCAAATTGGACAGATTGAAAAGTTTGATTAAAAAACACAACTAAAGCCATAAATTTCGTGTATACAGCAAGGATAGAAAGAATAAAACTTTCCATCTATATTTCACAACCTTAAAAAGAGATGAGAAATCACCAAACATCATTACATGCTAATACAGTACTCAAGTTATCTTCGTTTCTCAAGTCCAAAATGGACATCTTGAAAAGTTACAAGATTATAGAAAGACAATTTTAAAGCCACAGATTTCGTGTAACTGCAACGACAGAAATATGAAAAATTTCCATCTACATTTCACACTACTTTTGCAGTGTACCGAAGTATTAACTCATAGTGTTGTTCTGTTATACCATCTAAAGAATATGAAAGACGTGAATTTCAGATATAGCAAGTGGGAAAAAAGGACCAAAAGTCATCATCTCAAATCTCTTTTTGGCATCAGGATAAAAAAATAATGTCATCACGTTTAAAATACCAACCAACAACCAACAAGAAATTACAGAAGTTATCTTCATGAGATGCACAAGTTTCTTTAAGAAAAGTCAACTTCCGAAAGTTGACAACGGTTGGAATTAATAAGAGAAGCAAAAGACAGCAACGTCACAAACACAAGAACAAAAACGTTCCCGAGAACGGACATGGTCAAACAGCGGTCACGCGTCATTATCAACACTTATAACCAGAAACCCAGTATTTTGAGGTTAGAATCATTTCTAACTTATCCGTGGAAGATTTGTAAACAGACTCGGTCAATGGGCTGGAAGACACCAAAAAGGAAGACTAGAATAATACAAGAGACCATTCGAAGAGATGCGCCAGTTGTGAGGACAAAAAATGCCCCTTTAAACCACTGGGTGTTTGCAAATAACACCTATCGATTCTTTGGTCAGTGTAAGGCATCTACGAAACACGTCTGCAAGAACAAAATAGGAAAGCCAGATGCAAAGTCCCATCTTTGTCAAACCAGAATTTCGCGGACAGGACCGATGCATAAAGAAAATAAGAAGTAAACAAAGGGAGTGTTAAAACAAGTCCGAGCAAGACTAGTTCAAAGATCCTGGCAATTAATCAACGATCCAACTCCTATAAATATAAAGTTGTTAAAATAGAAAAACAAGGTTATAGATATAAACACATGGCACCCATGAATGACCAAAACAATTCAAACTTGCTTTCCCCAACAGCGAAAGAAGCCCGATCACAGTCTCACAATGAAAGCACGTACAAACAAGGGCTTTTTAAAGTTAAACCGTATTAGCTGCAGAAAGCAGTTTAGCAGTTATGCATAAACCAATAGAAGAGAGGGGAGGGAAAGAGAAGTCCGTCCACTAGGTTTATTAGGGTTTTCTTTTATTTTTTTCTTGTCTAATTTCAATAGCTGTGCATCATGTAGTAGTTGCAAGCATATAATATTAAGATTGTTAGACGAGTTGTATCCAAATTCACAATCGATCAATGATATACTGGGTCATGTAAGCCTCTCTTCTAGTTCGGTTTCTGCACAAATTAATCCTAAAGCGCAAAAATCGTGAAACAGGAGAGAGTACACACGAGGTAGTGCAGATTTCAAACACCGAGTAAAAACCAGAGAGAGTAAAGAATACCACTAACCGGAAAGGGTTGGAAGAGAAGAACCAGTGCAGAGATCGGTAAGCTGCGTTTCAATCTTGGTGAGGAATGTAGTGGCTTCGTCAAAAGGCCGCGTCAGATCGGATTTGTATTTCACCAGCATGTCACAGTAGGTTGCCTGAAACATCACACAAACATACGCACAAAAGTAAATGAATAAATAAAAGAGCGACGAAATTCTCGCGTTACTATTATTTGACTTATTCGGCTTATTAATGTATGTTTATGTAAATGTAAATGTGAAAATATCTGAGTATGAACATATATATAAATATACGTGCGTGTGGAGGGAAGAGAGAGAGGGAGAAAGGGAAGGAAGAGGGGACCATGAACTCGTCGAGTTCGGGATCGGCTCCAACGCACGTGTAAACAACGTCCCTCTTGCAAACGTCGTTTTCTCGTCGGATTTCCTCTAACAAACACGCGATTTCTGGAGGCGCTCCCACCTGAACAAAACGGTTTGTTATTGCCGCATTTGTTACACACAGTTATCCATTGCAACAACGAAAACCAAACCAAAATAGTAATAATAATAATAATGTTATAAAAAATAAATAAACCAGTGAGAAAATAGAATTGAACAATTTAATTACCTTCTGGCAATCGATGTAGGCTTGAAGGAGGCGAGGGTAGTGAGGGTGAGAGGCGATTTTGGCTTTGATGAGGGAAGAGGTGTCGTGGTGGCGCTGAATTTCAGGTGCGATGCCGACGTTCGGGTAGGGTTCAGTTTCGTAGCCGGCGGTGATGGCCACCGCGGCGGAGAGTAACTCGTCGGATCCGAACATCGGAATACGGCCACCGGAGGACATTAAGAAACCGTGATACTCCGCCGGAAATATGTTATCCGGCGTCATCAACGCTTTGTCCGAGTACTCCGCTGTCGATTGCATGCCGTACATTTCGTCTTCCATAACGCTGCGTCGTTTAGCTTCTTCGCCTTTGCGTCGCGTCTTGGTGGTTTCGTAGAGGCAGTGTTCTAGAAGAACAAAATTACAACATCAACGCATCACGATATTATCTCCAAGTCTCAACTATTCACAGCAAACCGTAGCTTTTATAATCATGATTATGATTAACGCTAACTAGTTTTCTTTCTTTTTATTTTACCGAAACTGCGAAGATGAGGAATTATTCTGACAAAAAAAAAGTTGAAATCGCCACACTTACGTTCGCTGGTGAGCACAGTGGTACTGTTATCGATGAAGACGAAGATTATCTGTATGATAAATTAATCTCCATGAAATAAAATAATAACATGACTAAATTAAATATGAGTGGCACTAGACTTTAGGATTAGGGGCGAGTAACGGAGAAGAGAGAAGGTGTGTTGGGAAGCGTGGTATTTTCGGTGAGGAACTGCAGCGACAACAAGGAGACGCAGCGACGCACACAAGCCAGTGATGTGAACCAGAACGAAATATTATATTAAGAAAAATAAAAAAAGAAAGAGACTGAAGTTGGATTATTTTCTTTGCTTTTTTTTCATTCTTTTTGAATAAAATACAACTTGGAAGGTCACGTAACACCTCAATCCTTTCTCTCTCTATACACTTTGGTGACTTTTCTTCTTCTGTTTGGTTCAATTTTAAAGTAGTTGTAAAAAAAAATGTGAATACTAATAGCTTGGAATTTAATTAAAGAGACAAATTGGAACATCATTTGAGTTGTGTAGGCCAATCACGGGGCCAGGTTGTGGTAATCTATGCCGTTCCCTGTTGTCATCTCCTCCTATATGTCTTCAAACGAAACACTGGCCTTAAAATTGTAAGTGTCTTTGAATAAATTTTCGTTCTGTGATTTTTTTATATTAATTAATTAATAATTAAAATATGAATTTATACGTTATATACAAAATAAAAATTTACACTCTTGCGTCGCGACAAAGTTGTTATTAGAAGAACAAGCTTCATTTATTTTTATTTGACTTTTTTTTATTTTTTTGCAACATTTTGTCCCATTGGACAAATTTTTGGGGAAACTACGTTATATTTAACAATTTTTATCATATCCGAGGATAAGAAGATGAGAAATATGTCGGATTTTTTTTTCGAATAAAATTTTATATCATATATCCATTTCGATTCATTTTAACCACCATCAAGCATGGTCAAAATTTATACAAAAAAAAAATGTAATATTGTTGATAAACAGCACATGTATCACCAATTACATTTTTCTTTGAGCTTCTGTTTCTCTTTCTTTCTTTGTAAGATCTAACAAACTTGTTAAGTGATGTGATTCACTTTAAACCATCAAACTATTAATTTTATGAATTCTATCTTAAATAATTACTAGCAATCATAATTGTAACTATTGCATATCCTTGACCAAAAACAAGCTTTTTGTTTAGTCAACTTTATGAAATCCTTTGACACATTCAGACAATGATCTATGAAGAAGTTTATCCTCATCTATTCTTAATTTTATTTTATTCTTTTACTCCTTCTTCCTTAAGCATAATATTTTGTAACTCAACTGGGGTAAGAAAATTTGGGAATTTGAGACTCATAAACAGACAAAACTGGTGTATCAGGTTCTTCGTTAGTGAAGTTGGCACCACTGGTAGGCTTTGGGTAAGACACTTGAATGTTTTTCTTTTCCATTGATTTTATTAAATTGAGAATAATTAATGTACATGATTATTGTAATAAAAAAGAATGGTGATAAACGCATCTGTGTATGTAAAAATATATCTATGTTTTCCACATTGTATTATTATATATTAAAAAACTATAATCCATTATTAGTTAGGCTAAGTGTAAAATAGGTTTTGTCTACTTTATCTTCTTGCAATTCATATGATAGAATAAAAGCTCATAACTTGCTTGTTTGAGTAAGCGTACCTTGACCAAAGCACCAATCCGCACATTGCAACTATTTGTGTGGAAGGATCTTTCAATTTGTGAATAAGTGAAAGGAACCTTAGTTGGTCATCATCATGATTCAATTCTATTCATATATTCAAATCCTGCACTCATAAATGAACAAGGTTGATGTTACAAATAGGTTCTACACAACTATCGCACAATTATTGAAGAGGTTAAGCCCCTTAAGATATTTTTTTAGGACTAAGTTACACTTAAAATTACTATTTCTAAAGAGTTGGCAGGGCAGGGTATTCTCACTGGTGATTGTCATTGATTCATTAAAATAATTTGACTTAATTCAATTTTAAAAAATAAATAAATTTAAAAAATTTATATACTATAGTTTAATATGTATTCAAGAACTGACAAAATTTTTATTTGTGAAATTAATAAAAAATATATAATAAACTCTAGTATCATGCTTTCTTTTTATATTTAATTATGAACTAACAGAAGGCTCCAGAATAGGTTTGATGATGTTTTAAGATGCTGTTAAGATAAGGTGATTATTGTAGTTTTCTATTGTTAAAATATTGCTGTTTTTTTAAAATTACTTTTCTTTTTGCAATATTATAATTTCGACAAAGAAACTGTATATTTTGTGGCATGTTGAGTGTAAAACAAAAATATATTCTCATATATCTTTTTAAAAAGCTAAGTGAATAAAAAATAGATTTGGAGCCTAAGAAATATACTAAAAGTAGTAATAGTGAGAATTAGAGTAGGGAAGTTAAATGTGAGAAAAAAAAAAGTGAATGAAGACAAATGTTAATGTGTATAAGGAAGAAAATGGTTAGAATAGTTTATATTCTAAGAAGCAATTAAAGTGTTTCCATGATGAGTTATTGGGGTTTTGTTTTGTTGAATTTAATAATTGGGAAGGATAGAAAATATTCCAAGGGGAAGGAGTGTTGAAAACACACACAACTTTTGGAAGGGTGGCCGACACGATTCTGAATGCCAATGGGATCCGACACAAGTTGTTTGAGAAACTGATTAATTAAATAAAACAGAATTACATACGCCAGTTTCCAGCTTTCCAGCTTCCTTTTACATCAACTTCAAGAATACTTATATTTCAATATTATAGGCTAATCAAGAATATAAAATATGGTCTCTTACTTAAGAATGCTGGGATTGTACACTTTTTTCATTCATCCCATAATATATGTAACTTTCATTAATCTAACTCCAATTTCGATTTATACAAAATTAACGTATTCTTATAATTACTAAGTATCATTACAACAAATTGAGAAGAGAAAATGTGTCTTCTATCTTTTCGGCAGCTGAAAGACAATGATAAACTATCTACCATAAATATATATAAAATAATATTTATATTATATTTGGCAGAAGACAAGATCGATAATTTAATAATTTACAAAATTTATTATATTTTAAATTATAAAGAGATTTTTTTTAATATTTTTTTCATTGAAAAAAATATATATTTATACTATATATTATTTTCTTTACTTCTTTTAATTATTATTTTTTCTTACCTTTTTTTTCTCGAACATTAAATAATAATTTTTATTTCTTTTACACCTTATCAATTATACGTTTTCTTTTATTTTTCTCTCTGTTTATTTGTTTTAATGATCCATAATTTTAGGCATAAATATTTATATTTTAATATATATATATATATATATATTAAATTTTAATAACTTAAAATAAAAATATGCATATAAGTAAAATATTCATAATAAATAATTTAATATATAATATTAAAATAATTAATAAATTTATTTCATCTTCTATTATTTTAATATGCAAAATTTCTCTTCCTGTTATATTTTTCACTCTATGGCTTTCTATTTAATTACAAAAAATCAAGTGAATTATTGAATGCATTACGGTCTAAAAATTATCTGAATTTAATCTATTTCCCCGAAGTATAGAAAGATTGTTTTATTATATTTATATTATTTCCTAAAGTTATATACAATTATTTTGTTATTTTATATTATATATTATTGAAATGAAGTATTTATTATTTTTATATAATTAATTTTGATTTTGATTTACATTTTAACTATTCTACTATTTTTTATAATAATTTGTTTATAATAATTATTTATTAGAGAGACCTAATGAGAAACAAATCTCTATCACTCATGTCTATAATGGTAAACTACTTCCTACTCAATTTTTTAATAATAAAAACGAACCCTAAATAAAAAAAGGAAAGTAATGTTTAAATTCTTTGATAAATATCATGTGTCCGTTTTCCCTTAATTAGTGGACTTTCCACTAAGTTGAATAGTGATTGAAATCATCTATAACTATATATAATATATAATTAATTTTTTTGAACTGTTTTTTATGTCTTCAGAATATTATAATTTTAAAAACAGTTATTAATTTTTATATTTAAAAAATGACAAAAATATATGAGCAAAATAAAATAAAAAATATATTTAAAATTTAATAATTATAAAAAAAATGTAAACATGCAAGTATTCTAACCTCTTTGTTTCCATTAGTTAAACACTTTGTTTATTATCATACAATTCAGTAGTCATCATTTATATCAATAACATGGTAAAACACAAATGATTTTATCACTTATTCATGTTGAGAAAAATAATTTCTATTGTCATACTTTAATAATAATTTTCCATTTTAAATAGTATTTTATTTTAGACTACATGCTTAAAAATTAAGTATATTTTAAAAAACTTATTTTAATTTAGTTAATTTCATCTTCATAATTTTTTAAATTCTTATAAAAGTACCCATCTAACATGGTAACAATTATAATTTGTTGATAAATTTATTGATATATATATTTAAAATTTATTAATCAAACTTTGACAGCAATCATGAAACATGTGACAGGTCATGTGATGTGAGGAGGGTTTTTAACATTTCACAATTTCAATTTGATTGAAAAGGAAGAAGAAGAAAGGGGAAAAAAATTAATAAAAAATTTGGCCTTTTTCTTTCTCTATCTATTAATTATTTGTTTGACCTATATTGAGTGGTTTTTGAGCAGACAAAGGCTGTAGGTTGTGACACGTAACGAGTGTTTGACG